GTAGAGGCATTTGAGCGGGGCTCCCAATGTGCCTCTCCTCCTTGACGGGACAGCTGCAGCCTGACTGTGCGGGCTCTCGGAAGTTTTCCTATTTTGCCCTATGGCCTCTAGAGTCCTGGAGGACCCTTCACAGGCCACAGCTCTAGATTGCTGTGGATGGTGTGACGGGCCATCAGGCACCATCTCATTTGCCACCCCACGGATACCCCCCTCCCCCTCGAATCTAGTTTAAAGCCCTCGTGATGAGCCCTTTAAACTAGATTTGCCCAGCAGTAATGAGGTATGAGTAGCTGTGTACAGCTTCAGGCCTGTTACGGGAAATGAGGGCTGCTCATACTCCTATGACTTGTTTTGGGGTAGTGTCTGAAGCCTCATTAGGATCAAAAAAGACTCAGGGTGGTTGTGAGAATGTTTCTGGGAGTTAACAGTGATACCTCAGTGAACTACAAGTCGCTACAAACGGTAAGAATTCTTTCAGTAGAAGGCTCTGTAATGGGGAGTAACCCTTCTGGAGCCCATGAAGGGACTTGTCTGTTAACAACATTTGGTACTAAACGTAGATTTTTTTCATCCTTTGTACAGCCCATAAAGCCATATTTTGCCTTGGAAAAAATACTTATTTTGCAGCAAAGCCTAATTCATATTTCATAATTTTTTTAAAAGAAAAAAAAAGAGTATATTTATTTATTTTTTAGCTAGAAAAAGTTAGTTAGCAGCCCGGTATATTTACTTACCTGGGGAAAATACCATAAAACAAACATTAATATAAGATGCTTAAGGCTTATATAAGGTGTTTGATCAGTGCCATGAATGATCAAATTTGCAGACCAGCATGACAGCTGGTGATAGGAGTAAGTCAAGTAATGAGGTCATTTTGTTGTCATAAAATTACACATGATAGAACCAAATAAACAAGCTATCTAGGTAAATTATAAGTGACTTGTGTGTTGGCTAGCCATTTAAATATCTGATTAATAAAAAGAAAGTATTAAAAACATTACTAATTTCAGATATTAGCACATTATTTTTGCTATTTTAATATCTTGCAGTCTGAGATACAATTAAGATATAAATTTGGCACTGAGTTTTGAATTGTGCTGCTGAAAATACAGTGCACACATTTAATCCCAAAGTTCCACTGCAGATTTCTTTTATCTGTCTAGTACTTTATTTTATGGAACTTTAATAACGTACTGATTAATTTTTTTTCTATTTCCCAATATTAAATTTTTACTTTGTTATATTGAAGATCTCATTTTATATATGTTCCAGGTCCTTCTACTATAAACTTTGGTGACGTTTGTGTGCAATCAACATCTGTCAGAAGACTGCATATCATCAATAACTTGTTGGTTCATATATGGGTACAAATTGATGTTGAACCTGAAGAGTTACAGCAGACGAGTCCGTTGTCCCAGGTGGTGCCTCCTCTTTTCAAGGCTTATATTCCAGTAGTATTTGAGACAAACACGCTTGGGACTTTTCAGAAGTAAGGCTCTTGCATTTGTCTTGATTTACATATTTGCCTCATAGACTTCATAGTAGTAGTAGTAAAGAAACATTTCATGTGATTATTTTAAACTCCATGTAATTATGTTTCCCATGGCGTCATGAGGTTCAGATTGGACCCCCTTGCTTTCCAGACTCCTCTTCTGAGGAATCTGGGGAGAGCAGCATCCAATCTATGTCTCAGACCTAGTCAACACTGATTATCAGTGCAGTCAATAGAAATATTAGCAAAGTTTTGCAAAGTTTCAGCATGCTATTAGCTGCTTCCTGAGGATCTGTGGTGGATAAGGAATCTCTCCACCTCAAGGAGTAACCTTGAGAGGCATCTCTGCTCGGGCAGAGGTTCTGCAGTACAGAATACTCAATGGGCTGTGCACTGCTTCCTGCTTGGTGGGGCAGGGGATGATTGACTCATTCTTGTTTGCTCAATAGATGCCTTTTAATTGGCTGATGCTCCATTAACCCCTGCCTGTGTTTAGGGAGAGGTAAAGCTGAGGCAGAGCACAGGTTGTAGAAGGACCTTGTGGGAAGGGAAGGAGCACTGTCACATATAGTGAGTATTTGTTAGGGTTGTGTTTAGAAGGAATGTATATGCATATGCTTGGACAAAGGCCTCATTGCTATAGGTATTTCAGGAAAAAAAAAGTGCTACAGTATATTAGGGAAAATTAAGGGAATGGAACATCTCTCGTATGACGGGAGGCTGAGTGAACTGGGCCTGTTTAGCCTGGAGAAGAGAAGGCTGAGAGGGGATATGATTAATGTGTATAAGTTCAGGAAGGGAGAATGCGGGGTGGAAGGGGACAAGCTGTTTTCACTGGTGGCCAGCGATAGGACGAGGGGTAATGGCCATAAGCTGGAGCAGAGGAAGTTCCGTCTCCAGGTGAGGAGGAACTTCTTTACTGTGAGGGTGACAGAGCAGTGGAACAGGCTGCCCAGGGAGGTTGTGGAGTCTCCTTCTCTGGAGGTCTTCAAAACCCGCCTGGATGCCACCCTGTGTCACATGCTCTAGGTGTGCCTGCTTGAGCAGGAAGGTTGGACTAGATGATCTGTAGAGGTCCCTTCCAACCTTAAATATTCTGTGATTCTGTGAAAATTTTCCTCTTTATGGAAAATACTGTATTTTTTTTTTCCAGCAGTGTGTTGCATCTTTGCACCCATTCTCAGATCTATTATTATACCTCTGCCTAGGTGATTCTATAGGCAAATCTTCTATATTTCTGGTATCAGGATGAAATTCTCACTTTACTAATGGTATTAAAACAGTGTATGGAGTTGGTTATCCATTTGGAAGGTTTGAGTTTCATGCAAAATGGTTATGGATAGCATTCTGGTGTCAGTTCTAACATTCTGTGTTCACACTCAATTGCTTCATTAAGTTTTTCTTGCCAATAATTATATTTTATATAAATGTATTTTGACTACTACCTAATATGTAGAGTAATACCTTTTTTTTTTTCTTTAACATTACAGGTCTTTCACATACACAATAAATAATGGAAACACTGGACATGTGCTGGTAACTGCAAAAGCAGTGTCTGTTGAGCTAGAGCTTTCTGCAAAGGAGCTGATTCTAAATCCTATTCCTGGCTATCTAGCAGAGACAGAATTTCGAAGAACTATCAGAATATACAATCGCAGAAACTATTCTGCTGAGTTTTCTTGGAAACCTATAATTGCTGATAAAAATACTCCATTTTCAATACGGCCATCCAAAGGTACAGTATACAATTGTATTTTGTGTATCTTGAATGTGGGTGATGTCAAATAAGACAATCAGCTGATGCCGTGAGTTATATTTTTAGCTGTGAGTCAGCACTAGTTTTACCCAAAAGTAGTTTCAGATCAGAGGGCGTTTGTACCATAGTGACATGCAGGGAGTATTTGCAATGTAGCAGCATTCCCTGTGTAAGGGGGATGCGTTCCCCCATAGCCCCCCACAGCATTCCCACCTAGGCATATTGGCTCCAGGTTGCTCTTTCTGTGTCCAGCAAACAGCTCTTGTGTTATCACTGCTCTGAGTGCATGTTGCTATAAAAAGGGATGAGGCTGCTATTTATTGGCAGTTAGTGGCAGCATATAACTCATAAAGGGAGTAAGTTTTTGCAAAGCAATATATGAGAGAAACTGGTAAGAAGGCTAGGTAGAGAGTAAGTAACATAACAATGAAATTCAGCCTCTGGGATTATTGTCCACTTGTGTTATGGGACAGTATCTGTTGGATGTATGTGAGATGTGAGCTTTTACTTTCCCTATTAAATAAAGTGTTTTATCTAGAGTATATTGGAGCTTTCCTATTGAAGTGCCAACTGCTAACCGAGTAAGATGAGCTGGTGTAGTTCAGGACAAGTGTGATATGGCTGCAGTGGGAGTTTGGTGTCACCTCGTTCATGACAAGTAGGGTATCTTTGGTGATACTAATTCAGAATCAATTGAAATCAGGAAAATGTGTATATTCTTCCCAGAATTATTCTTCCATGAGAAGGGTTGCTTTTTTTTTTTTTTCCCCCAGCTATTCTCCTTAAATATTTGAATAATTTATGTATAAAAAATACTGGTGACTTTTGGATGATTTACTATAGGTTGCTAATAAAATGAATTTATGTAACTGTTGTGAAAATTCGGAAGCTAATCTTACTTCATTCATCATGTTGTTCAACAATTTTAGGGTGTAGGTTTAGTCTTCAGTAATAGAAGGTCATTTGGAGTTAAGAAGCATATGTTATTTGTAGTTACACAGTGTAATTTGAACAGTGTAATTTTGCAGTGTATTACATGCAGCAATTTGTAAACTGTGTGAATTTGGTTAGGTTTTGTGGAACCGTATAGAGATCTGGAGTGTGAAGTTGTTTGGCATTCGGCGTTCCACTCTGCAGACACAGGCGAATTCAACTTGTGTGTGCACCAGGGAAACACAGTCAAGTTGAAATGTTTTGCAAAGGTAATACCTCCTTAGAGAGCAATGTGTGTTATGCTGTTTAACAAACATTCTGGAACATGTTTTTGTGACTGTATATTCAAAAAAACCCCACATTTTAATCTCTCATGCTTTCCATTTGGCACATGCTCATGAAAAAGTTCCTTGTTCCAAAGAAATGAAGACGACGATGGGGGTAAAAGATACTTTGACTTTGTCTTGCTCTCAGATTCTCAGAATTTCTGTCTATTATTTTTCTTCCCTGTGGTGATACACTTCCTCTGCACCTCAAGTGAGTGGTTCTTACAATCCCACAGTCTTACAATTTTTTACAAAAGCTATGAAAGAGTTACTCGTTTTGACTTGCTTAGTTTAGTAAAGCAAAGGTTCAAATGTAATATAATAGTTGTTTAAAAACATGCTAAAGGAAAAAAATCACGGAGGAGAAAAAATGTTTCAATGTATGGATGACTTCAGGTTAGTGACTCTCAGTTGGGTGTAATGTCACTTGTCTTTTGTAGATGCTGTCTGATGATTTGAAAAGGGATGTTCTGGATATAGTCTTATAAACAGTGATGGGAAGAAGCCCAAATTTTAGCTGGAGTAGAAGGAATCTTATGACAAAAAAAGATCATCCAAAAATAAGAAATCAGATTTATTTCATTTGATTTTTTTTCCCCCTCCATATTAAAAGCAGGAAGTAGGGTGTGTTAGAGTGGTGAAGCTTCTACTGTTATAAAAATTTCTGAAGTACCCTGTCCTGATGGCAAATTTAGTATTAAATAAACGAATGGCACTGAAGGTAGAGAAATCCTTTGGAGATTAAAATACACAAGCATATCATCTCTATCCCAGTGCTGTCTGGAATTGGAATAGGGAAAATTAGAACTGTGCTCTGTTATTGTGCTCCTCCATGAGTACATTTTGTTGCTCACTGTTTGAGATTGCCTACAGGCTATGTGAACTTCTCTTACGACCTTGGAGGACTGTTCCTAATTTCTGATGTTAAATGGATGGCTACATTTGAGTTGATGAGGATAAAATATTTTGCCCAGCGTTGTAAAAACGACGTCTGGAACATATAATTGTTAATGAATAATCTAGGTTGCATGTTTGTTACAGGGTACTAGGATACTCTGTATGTCCAAGGATATGCGTGTATACATGCATACATATATCTATGTATATATATTGTATATGCATATGTGTATGTATAGAAATATTTACATTTTAACCACAACAAAGGAAGCAATCTGGCAGCTCTTGTTTTTCATCAAAGTTTCCTGGTTGCCACTTTAGGCATGCTCCTCCGGTTTTTATAAAGAAATAGCATACAAATTTAAATTGACTTATTGATCTTAAATCATTTTTCTTTGTAGTTTTCAATTAAATTTTCAGAATTCAATTAAATTTGAGTTTAATAAAATTATTTTTTCTTTATCTTGAAATAAAACTAGATGTGTTCTGGGGTTTGGTTCTGTTCACTTTGAATCTAGATGGCTTGTAGCTTGAGTAAATGTTGTCTCACCTTTAAAATCTGTTTCCCCATCTGATTACTTACGCATTTCTGCCGGCATGTTTAGTTCTTTATGTAATGAAAAGAAAAATAGTTTATGGTGAATATTTATTTATGCTTAGTAGTACATTATTTAGTTTGTTTGTTTTTATATAGCTTGGTCCTACCAATGTTCAGTTTCTACAACAAAGGATACACTTCAATCATGCTCCTTTGGGTTTATGTACTTGTAAGACAGCCATTCTTCAAAATATAGGATACAATCATGCATACTTCCAGGTAAGATAAAATTATCTTTCGCCTATTTAATTTGTTTAGAGGAGGAGGAGAGGGGCAGTTGTTTTATCAAATCACGTCAAAATTTTGTGTCTTAAACCACTTTTTTTTCTAAGCTACTTTGGGGTTGGACTTAGATGGTCTCTAAAGATCCCTTCCAACCTTAAGGATTTTATGATTCTATGAAACTTTTGTGTTTGTCTGGCTTTCTCAAGAAACAAAATTCATGTGAAAGAAAAAGCATTTAAGACTCAGATGGTTACATGTTTTGAGAGAGGGCAAACTCACTAGTCCTTCCAGTCCCTGTGCTCAGACAGCTGCCCTAGACAGGCGACACGTGCGGAGACCCAGAGCAGTCACAGCGAACGCTGCGATTAGTCCTTTAGGCCAGCGCTGAGAGGAGGATAGGCAAGCAGGACACCGCTGTGGCGGTTAACTTATAAATTCATAGGAAATGGAACCTCGTCAGTTCTTCTGGATAAGAAGAAGAAAATGTTGTGCATATTTACTGAAGTAGGATCATTTTCAGTGGAATCCTCAGAACTTTTTTTCAAATGTTTTTGTGGGACTGCTTGATTACTTTCATTTCTATCATCTTTCTTTGTTTTTAGTTATGCTGATTTTATTACTTCAGGTGCATCCTGTGTGCAGTAGTAACACTTGCTATAGCTATGCTGCAGCTGATAAACAAAAACAACTTCTCAGGCCTGTATGATTTTTCTTAAGCTGAGAGATGGAAGTATGGCCTGTCATTAACACATACGGGTAACTGTACTTTAAAAAGTTATCGGTATGGAAGATATCTTTTATTTAGTTCTAACTGTCTGGGTGTAAACAGCCTGCTGCTGCTGAGCTTTACCTTACAGTAACTGAATCTTGTGCCCCATCTTTTTACTTAACTGGCTACTTACACTAACTTAAGTCAGTGAAGAATTTATCATTCACTGGTAAGATACTTTGTATTCTAGAAGCTTGCTAGATGGCATTTCCTAATTCAGTTACTTCCTGAAAACAACCCCCAAAAAAGAAAGTAGAATTATCAACTTGTGCATAAAAGTTATTTCATAATAGAAACGGATAATTTTTTCTAAAAATCTGATAATGTACTTAACTGCCTGCCTGTGATTTTGCCCCAAACCTCCATGCCCAAGTAAATATCATACATTATCAAGATTCAGATTATAAGGGTGAAAAATTTTCCTAGTAAATAACTAATTTTTCTCAAATGTTATAAGCTGTTGTTTCAATACTTTTTTTGTGTTTGAAGGTTCTTGATTTGAACCCACTGCCTGGAATGATAATCACACCTCCTGGAGGGGTAATACCTGTGGGAGGCCATGCTGATCTCAAAATCTCCTTCACTCCAAATGCAAAAATGAATTTTGATACAAGAGTGGAGGTATTTGAAACTGGAAGAGTGTCGTCTTCTAAGTGTTGTGTTGGTGTTTTGATGCATGGAAGAGTGTGTATGTGTGACGTTCTAAATTTTATCTCCAATGTCACAAAGTTTAAAAGAAAAAAAAATGCTATAGCTGTTGATGGCCAGCAACCTATTCTAACCCTCGACAGAGCTTTACACTTGGTTTTGGTCTTGCTGTAAAATATCTAAGTACCTCTGAGTTTGAGCTAATTCTTCCTATGCTGTTGGCAAGCTGTTGAAACCAGCACTGACTGGCTTCATGTATTCACGTAGACCTGTCTGTGGTTTTCTTGTTCTGCAAAGTAGCAGGACTTGCAGAACTGAAGTGTTTTAATTCCTTGACTTGCCTTTGTAATTATTACAAGGAGAGACATCTTGGAGGGGATTATTGGTATATTTGATTTGATACTAGAAGCACAATAAGCACGTATTTCTGCATGCATGCTAGCCGAACTTGCTGTTGGGTAAGAAAGGGCAGAATATGAGGAGAATGTTAACATGTGGCTTATCTTTATTACCTTTCCTGGCTTTTATTCTCTGTCTTCTGTTTTTTTCCATGTATATTTAACACTGGTCAGAACAGCAGCATCTATGTATTTCTACCAGTGCCTCTCTAAAGCAACTTGTCCTCAGGTGTATTTATCATTTCTCACTGCTGTTGAATAGAAATTACTAACCACTTGGTGCTTTTCTGTTCCAGAAAACTATTCCTTCTAGTGGTGCTACTTCCTGAAGTCTTTTGCCTGCAAAAGATTGATCTTTCCTGAATCTCCTTTTTCTTTTATCAATGGAAATTGCTATTCAGATGTGGTGTGCCATAGGAGAAGTGCTGATATAAGGAAATAGTTACTTTCATGACAAGTTATGCTATTATACTCTCCACTGTCTATCTTTTTAAAAACTTGTAATTACAACAAACTTAGTGAGATGAAAATGTTAAAATTACCTTGTTAACAATCATGCTGTTCTCCATTCACTCAGGTAGCAGTGCGAAACTCAAGAGTACTTGTGCTTAGGATTACTGGATGTGTGGAAGTCCCTGAGATAAACATCAGTGTGGTAAGTATGAAGTATTGTTATTGTGCCTGTTGATGTGATTGGTAGTGTTTTGCTTAATTTAGATGTTGAAGTGGTTCACCCCTACTAAATAATTTCATTTTTTTTCCTATGTGAACTTTCTTTGAGAAATATCAAAGAGAAGAAGCTACGAAGATAAGTTAAAAACTAAATGCAGATGTGATAGTTAAACTAAATGATACCTTACAACTTTAGCCATTGAAACAGACAATCTGGAAAAATGCATTAAAAGGGAGAGGATTTCTTGAAGTAGCCAAAGAGAAGACTACAAGAAGTGGGAAATGAAGCTGTGTGTTGACTAAATGAGGAAAACTTTGTTAATGGTTTAACTGGGTTCCTTTGCTGAATTCTAACCCGTGTCTTTGATATCTTTAAAAGATTTTTTTAAAAAGGGATCGGACTAGACAGTTGAGATGTCTGGTAAATGTCTTATAAATTCAGAGTCTCTGAACACTATCTTCAACTTTACTGTTGTTCAGCTATGTACATGATTTTATAACATTCTGTCCTCAGTTTATTTCTTTATATTTACAGGAACTGTTTGACTTTGATGGTGTTTATGTTGGTTCTACAAAATCGATTCCCTTTTTGCTGCAGAACAAAAAACAGTCATGTACCAGAGTGGAGTTTGATTTATCCAAGTACAAGGATTTTGTACTGAATGTTAATGACTGTCCAGGTATTTGCTTTTAACAGATAATAATTTTCATGAATTAAAGAATAGATTGGTGCTACTTAATGTTATACAAATTTTACTGATTTTTCACCATTTACAGAAGACCTAAAAATTTTGAGAAGTATTCTTTAATATAAATTCAAGGGGATCATCTTACCTGTAAAATGGCATTTGCCAAAAGCAACTGTTTGGAAAGTGTCAGCTTGCTGAGAAAGAGATGTGTGTGCATGTATGTGTTCATTTGTGTGTTTGTGTGTGTGTGTTTCTATGTATCTTATTTTTCTTCTTTATTTTTGCTTGTAACTCTTAAGGCATGTGAAATAAATCCGCCTCTGATTACTCTTGACCCAGTTAAAAATGAGAGCTATGTTTATTACCTGTTTATGGACTTTTTCCCACTATTCCACTAGGGAGTGAAGCTTATTTCAGCTTCACTGATGAATTTGAGGATCTGGGGTTCATTTTCCAAATTCTCAAACTTTAATCATAAAACCTCAGCTCTACATGATGACCAAGTCAGAATAATATTGCAGCAGTGTGAGGCATTTGATGGCTGTTTTTTATTTCTTGCTAGGACTTCTGCAGTTTCTCATTTTTCAGTTGTCATTGCTCATCCCTTTTACACTTAAGTACTGATATCTCCTTCACCCTGCCCAAACATCTTTATACCTGGGAGAATTCTGCAGCTATTATTATATGGCTTTTTGTCCTTGCAAGCTCAGGAGAATCATGACGACTTCTTATGTAACTAACTATACATTGCAACACTGTTTTATATCTTTATGTAGAACTGTATGTGAATGATGACAAAAAGCGATCTGACAAGAGCAGAGGCATTACCTTACCGTGCAGTAAGTTTTCAAGGGGAGATGTGGACTTCTAGTTAGCTTTTTTTAAATTCAAAGAGAACTGTGAGATTCTGTCTAAATCAGAAGAGGGACTGGTATGAGAATAGACTCATTGCAAATTGTTTTTATATCAGAGTTTGTGCTTGAAACAGATAAAGTGGTGTTCAGGCTGGTGTTGAAATGGAGCAGTCCCGGGATGAATGCCAAATGCAGAAACATTGTACTTGTGCACTGTGAATCTGTGCCATGCTTCTGCTGGTATTTCTTAAAAGTGAACAGGAATACTTGCAAAATGCAAGAAGCTTTATTAATAAGCTTCTCTACTGTAGATGAAGCTTGAAAGTAATTCAGAAAAACAATGTTTCAGACAATATTACAGGGGAAAAATATTTAGTTTTCACCGTTTGATTAACATTTTTTCCTAACCGGTTCACTCGAAAGCAAATTAATTTTTTTCTTCCCTCTTAAAAATTCTGTGCTCCTATATCGGTGGCTTTCATTGGTGTTGCTGGAAGGAGACGCTTCTCAGAATTACTGACAAAATGCTCGTTAGAAATATTATATTCGATTGTAACTTCCTGAGAAATTCTTACCATGGAAATACATATCTGCATTATATCAAAATGAATTTAAATGCTGCAACTATTAGAGCTCCAAAGGCAGGACTTATTGATAGTAAAATAACATCTCTAACGATTCTGAATTTTGTTTGACAGTGGTTGACTGCTGTCCTTTGAAACCTCATTTGTATTTTGTGTACTTAGAAGGAAAGGAAACTCTGCCGTGTTCATTGTCTTTCATCCCAAAAGAGGTAAGTTTGAGGCAACATTATTATGCTAAATTAATATGATGCTCTTCAGCTCTTCATGATGTTTTAATGCTGAGAGAATATAGAGGTCTTAGATTTTGTCTGTGACAAATACATCAATTGGGTGAAATAGCTAAAACCTGAGACTTTAATAGTGGCAAAAACAGGCAAAACAATTTTCCTGTAGGTCATGTCGAGTTTTGAACTCTGATGACTTAAGGAGAATATCATAATGTTACCTCTGTGAGCTTGCTCTTTTCATACGATACTTGAAAATTTTATCATAATCTTAAATCCTGACTGCAAAGTTATTTTTCTTTTTCACTGAATGGGTGAGAAACACAAAAAATTGAATCACAGTAGTAGCATTTCTGATATAAGGTATGTTTCACCTGGTCAACAGGAAAACAAACACAAGTGGCCTGTGTTTTAGAAAATCTCTCACTTTCCCAAGGTCTATACTAAACACTTCACACCTGCGGTGAAGATTGTTGTTTGTTATTTTATACAAATATTATTGTTACACCCCTGAATTTGGTCAACCTCATTCAGAACTAGCTTTTCTGTTGCAGATATACAGCAGAGCTCATATCTTGCATTTAATCATTGAAACATTCTTATTTATTTATGCATATTAAAAATTATACTCAATCATATTTACAGAGTCCCCAGGGGACACTAGTCAGCTGTCAAGCAGCCAAATTTAGGCACATTATAAAATCCCATTCTAACAGTATGCTGTTAATCTAAAGGTGAAATTTAGGCCTCACTAAAGCCAATGCAAGACACTTATTAAATCTAACAGGATCATGGTTCTACATGGAATTTCTGGGCTGTTGATTTTCTGTAAGTGTGGAATTCAAACCAGTTAAACAGTAACTGTGATGAAAGAATATACATTTTGGCTTGATAGAATGGGAGTGTGTGCAACAGAAAAGCCTTTACAACTGAAGAGAAGCAGACAAAATAGTGTAGAACTGTGTACAACAAAATGAGGAAAAGTGATTGAACTTTTAATAATTGGGTACATTATCATTGCTTTCCCAGCAAGTTTCAAAACCTAATTAGATTTGATTTTTATTTTAACCAGTGAGGTCCTCTGAAGCTTTGAAGCTTTTTTTTTCTTTTTTTTAACATTAAAGCACTATGTCTGAATAGTGTTTTCTTCAAGAATATGTTTTAATAAGAATTCAACATTTTAAAATATTTTCTGTATTCTTCTTGAAAATTTGACTTGTCCATAGAAGTGACAAACAAAATACTGTTCCATAATTGCTCATTAGCTTCTGGTAAACCATAAGTATAATAATAAAACAGAGTAAGGAAACAGTTGTTGGAATTGTAATGGCTTTCTGTAAGAGCTCCTCAAATCTCCCAGATTTCTGTTTTTTTTTCTGTTTCTTATTTTGTGTCTGCTTTTGATGGCTTTGCTCTGTTTGTGGATTAGATGGGAACAAGATAATGTCTGTATGGTTAACATTAAAGCTTAGCTAAACTAGCCATTAAATATTTTTTATTGTATAGATGCTGTTTGCATAGAAACAGAAAGTTTTGTCAGGAGTTCTGTAAGAAAACAATGCCACAAGCAACAATTCAACAATTCAGTAATCATAAATAGTGATTGCAGAAAACTGCCCTGTGGGTGATAAAGGAATGGCTGTAATATACTGTGTATTAGACTTAACAAATAACATAATTTCCCTTTGAAGATCTCAATTTCAATCCACTTTTATAAAACAAATCAACTTAGAGCCTTCAAATACTTGACAAGATTTATTTCTAATTTAGGGTTTAGGTGTATTTTCCTTTTTTTCTTTCCTTTTTTATTTATTTTCAGGTCAATAGCTAAAAGTAAACACTTGTGCGCAGATCTATGTGTACAATATTACACAAAATCCTTAAAGAGCAAAAAAAATTCCATACTATTAAGCTATCAAAATAGGGACTTTATTTGTCTCCCAGTGCTTCTTTTCTCATCACTGTGCTCTATTACTTTTTATTTTTCCTTGTGAAACTTAAGGATGGATCTAGAGCAGAAATTTGCTCTTAATAATGCTGTAAATTCCAGTGATAAAGTAATACTTCCAAAAACTTTTGAAATTTAGAGGATTCCTCATGCTTAATTTCATTTGTCATTGCAGCTTCTGTTCAATATTAAGGTTACTTATTAACACGTATCTCTGAAAAGTATCATTTGATAATGGTGATGTGGTAATGTACCTGAAGACAAGTTTATGCCAGTTGGCTCTCTGATTTAATTATGATATAAATACCGTGGAAAAAAGTTATTATGTTTAACTTGGATCTGTCTTGTAACTAGTTTGTTTAGAACATAGAATATATTGTAGAATATATTGCATCTATTGATTGTAGTTTTCTCCATAGTTTTATCTGATGTTATCTTTTTTTTTAATCAATGTCTTCCAATCTTGAGCTCTTCTTTTTATTTATTTTTTTTTTTTTGAAATAGGGGAATAAAGAATTTAGTGCATTTTAAAAAAAAGTATTTAGAAAAGGAAATTATCCCATAGAGTCTTATTCTCATAACTTTGTATAAATTGCTGCTTTGATGAAATATCTTTAGCTTGATTTTCCCCTCTTCTTTCCCCCCCCACTCTCTGTATTTCCCTGCCTGTCTCCCTTTGCCCTCAGGCCTGGATGAGCTCCCTGTACACCCAGTGCTCCCCGCTTGTGCAGGGGCGTTGCTGCCTGCCTGCCAGGGGCACATGGTGCCTTGCAGGGCAAACCATGCCTGGACAGGCCGGGATTTAAACAATCAACACTTCTGTGCACATGAGCTAACGTCGCTGAGAGCTGCCGCAGCACTAATAGCACTAACTCTGACTGGTGCTGAGAAAATAACATTGAAAACTAAATGTGTTGCGCAGTATAACACAGCTAAAGGAAGCATCTGAATGGACGTATATGAACATCCTTCCCCAGATGAAGTGGCTTATCTTTAATTTAACTCCCGCACAGTTGATTACTAATAAAAAGGAAAAAGCATCTCTTATGGTAATCAGAAACTCGGGTTTTAATTACTTTTGAAATACTCTTTTTTTTTAAATTCTCCTAAGACATTTCCTGTAGGATATGAGTTCTAATACACTTAGATTTTCTCTCTTTCACTGAATCTCTCCTTTTTTTTTTTTTTGACATTTCTATCTTGAAACAGCTCTAATCTTCTCTATATATTGAACTATGTTTATACAGTTTTCACTAACATTCCTAGCTCTTATTTCCTGACTCTCCATTGAGCAGCTGTTCCTCTAATCTCACCACCATTTTGAGGACAAATTCTCTTACCCAGCTTACCTCCCAGCTGCTGCAAACCTTCTGTATCCCCTTGAGATGTGTTCTTTTCTGTCTTCCTTCTGGTTCTACTAAAACCTCCTGTGGTTGTTGTTTCCATTACTGACAACATTGCTCTGTGAACCAACAAGAAAGTTTTTGTGCTGCTGCTAAAAGAAATAAGGCACTAGAAATAAGTTTGAAAAAATCATTCCAAAATGTTCATTTAGGGATTTTTTTGTATTGAAAGACCTTGATTAATTAATGTAAGGTTTCAATCAACTGTTAAGACAGTCTTGAATACGAGGATGATCAGGGGCCTGGAACATCTGCTCTATGAGCAAAGGCTGAGAGAGCTGGGCCTGTTCAGCCTGGAGAAGAGAAGGCTGAGGGGGGACCTGATCAGTGTCTATAAATACCTCAAGGGAGGCAGTGAGGAGGAGGGGGGCGGCCTCTTTTCAGTGGTGGCCAGCGACAGGACTAGAGGAAATGGCCACAAGCTGAGGCACCAAAAGTTCCACAGGAACTTGAGAAAACACTTCTTAACAGTGAGAGTGACAGAACAGGCTGCCCAGAGAGGTTGTGGAGTCTCCTTCTTTGGAGATCTTTAAAACCCGCTTGGATGCAGCCCTGTGCCCCGTGCTCTAGGTGACCCTGTGTGTGCAGGGGGTTGGACTCGATGACCTCTGAGGTCCCTTCCAACCTTAAGGATTCTATGAGTTCTCATGCTAAAAATCAACTTTCCTCTTACTTCTGCAAACCTCCAAATTGGCCAACTAAAACAAAGATTAGTTCTGAACAGTTCTCACAGTTCTCCCAGGACCGTAGTCTGCTTAGTCAGCTCCATGTGACATCAGAAGGCATCAGCTTAGACATGAGTGTCCTGGCATGTCTATAAAGCAGTATCTAGAAAACAAGGAGAGAAATCTTCCAGTACAAACAGAGAAAGATGAAGTTGGTGCTTAGCAGTGAGGCTCGGATGCAGCGAATGAGGCCGCTGTTTGCATTAATATGGATTTCCTGTTGCTGCAGCCTCTCAGAAGGCTTTAGAGTTGACAGGGTTCTTTACAGGAAAGAACTGAATGTTTGCTGTCATTGGCAGTTATAGCCAGAGCAGTGTGTGAAAAACAATATTAAATATATATATTTATAAAGAGGTAAGTTGGCCAATCTTTTATCATAGTGTATTTTTATATAGTATACAGTCCTTTTCTTCTATTTCAATATACTTCTAAAGAAGGATCTCTCCAGCAGTGATTTCCTTTCCTTTTTCTCAAAGCCATATAAGGAGGCTGAGGGAGCCAGGAGTTTGATTTGCCAGGCAGAGTTCTTACTTCCCATGCTGAGGAGAAAAGAGATGTTCTTGTAGTAAAAGATAATTTCATTTGCTTGGCCAAATACCTGCTGAAACTCCTTCTTTGCCATCTTTAGTCACAACTAAGACCCTAAGAACTAAGATTAACTTAGTTACTGAGACTTATTATTGATAATTCTGCTGATTGCAGAATCAGCACGGGCTATGGGCTGCCCTCGGCCGCTGCATCACGTGGGTTGTGCCACGGTGAAAAGGCCGAGGAAGGGGCTAGTGCTTCAGCAGGGCCTTTTCTTTTTTCTGTTCAAAAATAGCGAATTTCAGGATCTTGGAAGGAAGACAAAATAGGCAGCTGTGTAATACTGGAGCCCATGAGGCTTTTATTGAGATAAATGGAGCAAGTCACACCTGTCAGAGCTTCGTGCTTGGGCGTTTTGTAGGAAAGTGACAGTTAAAGATGGTGGGTGTTTTTTGTTTGTTTTTTTGCCAGTTGTAATGATGTAATTTTTTTATGAGAAAAACAATTCATAGTGTAGGAAATGAATTTTTATGGAAAATCTGCAGCTGTGGAATCACAAAATATTCAGGGTATTGCTGGTGCATCGTCTGTGTGTAGAGAAAGACAGTTTTATTTTGTTGTTTTGAGTGATGGTTTTTGGCACATGCTACATTATTCATTATGAAAGGCTGCTTACTGGTGGTGATGTAAAGCTGAGAAATTTTAACTGCTCTATATGCAAAGATTTGTATATATTTTTAAGAAAAAGTTTAAGTCTGAAGGGAGGCTGTGGATTGTGTACAGTTGAGGAATATAAGTCTCTGGATCTTCAGTGTCATTTAATTGTACGGTTAGGATTAAATTTTGATCAAACTGCTTTTTTTTTAAGTGCACATTACATTTTATCCTCTACTATCGCTGCAAAATTTATATGCTAGAGGAGCACAAGTAGATTTTAAAATTGGCTAGAACCCATAATTCAGTGACTTTCAAGGCTGAAAGATACAGTGTGAATGAATTGATATATAAATACAAGTGTAGTATCCTTTACAGACTTGTTTTAAATCAATTTAAAATTGTAAATTAGTTTGCACATTTAATTGCAATTCCCTGTGAAATTGTACTGTGAAAGCAAGTTCTATAATTTTAGAGAAATGTTGCATATTTTTCATGCTTAATAAACTAGCTGATTCCTGTGTTTGACAGCAAAATTTTATTCAACCTTGAGAATACATGCTGTACTACAATGCTAATCAGCAAAATACATTTTACCAAATGTGCCATTGCACTGGAGTGCTTAGCAAATATAGAATTGAGGCAACTGCCTTCCAATTTTTTTGAAAATTTACTAAAACTATGATTTTTTTTCTACTTGGATTCTGTTCTGCATCCCGCCACTCCCTACAGAAAGCCTCGAATGATGCTGACAGCTCTACTTGATTTTATCTCGTTATGCATTAGTTTTATTTAAATGAGTTTGAGTGGTAGACCTTTCCTGTTCAGACAGATTTCTTAAAGTCAACAACTTTTATTTATTTATTTATTTTACGAATTCCAACAGAGCCTTTGAGGAGATTTTAATTTTTTAAAGGCCCACTAAATTATTGTTTGTAAGAACATCTGTTTTATTTTAAAAATGGTTATCATCTGATGGAAGTCTAGACAAGTATGTCTTTTTCTGACATCCTTTAGAGGTGTTCTGTTTGAGCCCATAACAAAATAATGCCTTGTTTTAAGTGAGTGTTCTCTTCAATGCTTGTTTTGAAGTCTTTTAACTGCCAGCTCTACCATTCTGTAGATGATACTTCCTATTAACCTATATAATTAGCTTGAATCAGAACATGAAAAATATTTCTTATAGTGGTGTAAACAACTCCAAATGTTTGTGGAAAGAATGGTATATCTTAAGTTGTTCTATTTAGTCCTACTTGTCCCCTCATCCTCACTGAGTGTTGCTTTGCTTATTTTGTGCAGCCTTCAGAAGATAACCCAATAAATACATTTAGAAAGTAAAAAGAAATCTGCAAGTAATGGTTTAAGGATTTTTTTTTCTTTTAAATTTTGTTTTCTGAGGGAATAATCTTGTAAGACGGAATTTCCATTCAGAGTTTTAGAGATTAAAACTGAATCATAGAAGATTTCTGAAAATAAAATGATGTTCATTTGCAAAATGAACTATTAAAAAGAAAGGCGATTGGATCTTAATTCTCTTTTAGTAATCAAGTATTTATGTGTACACACATATGTGAATTGGAATACAATTTCTAAATATAAGGAATTTTTTAGGAATTATTTTTTATCCAAGTATTAATTGGTGAATGCAAACCAATGAGAAATGAGAAAGAGGTAAATATGAATAAATGAGAAAGAGGTAAATATGAATAAGACAAAAATCTGTGATTTGTTCTTTATTATACAAATCCAATTTTATGAGCTATATTGGCTACAAATTAACACTAGAAAGGGGCTTCTCACACTATGGAGAAAGATCCATTTCATTCTAGCTTTTAATTATGTTTCACAGAATTCACAGAATTCACAGAATATTTGAGGTTGGAAGGGACCTCTAGAGATCATCTAGTCCAACCTTCCTGCTCAAGCAGGCACACCTACAGCATGTGGCACAGGGTGGCATCCAGGCGGGTTTTGAAGACCTCCAGAGTAGGAGACTCCACAACCCCCCTGGGCAGCCTGTGCCAGGGCTCTGCCACCCTCACAGTAAAGAAGTTGCTCCTCACCTGGAGACGGAACTTCCTGTG